ACAGAGGGACAATAGCAAAATCTGATTTATTAGAAAAAGAAATGTCTATCATTAACATTTACTGTCCTCCCACCCGATATGTCTCAAGGCAAATTGTCAACAGGAGGTAGTTGTTGCTTTATCAGATTCTGCTGACATAAAATCATACAACACAAAACTGAGCTTTGTACTGCTATGGCTAACAAAAACTTAATTGCTTTAATCTTAATTTATATCATTAAATGGCTTAGAATGCTGAGCAATACAGACTAACTACAGAATTAATATTTGAATTAATCAAGTGCAAGAAAAAGTGAATGACACTCAAGTAACTTGAGAATTATAATAGTTAATCAATCCAGAGAGCAACTTTTACCACAAATCACAATTGGTGTCCCTCAGGGATCAGTATGGGGCCCAATGCTATTTAATGTCTTTGTAAGTGATCTGGAAGATAGGATAAAGACAAAGTTTTCTGATGAGACTAAACTGAGTGGGGAAGTGGGCACCTGGGAAGGGAGAAGCATCCTGCAGGAAGACCTTGATAGGCTGGAAGAGTAGGCTAACAAGAACCTTATGAAGCTCAACAAGGAGAAGTGTAAGTATGCTTTTCCCCCTGGAAAAGCATAATCCAGGAGTGCAGCATGGGCTGGGATCTACCCTTTTAGGGAGCAGCTCTGGAGGAAGGCACTGGGGGTCCTGGTGGACAAAGCTCAGTGTGAGGGACTGCGTGCTGCTGTGGTACAGCAAGGTGACAGGATGCTGGGTGGGATGAAGGGCATCACCAGCAGAGATGAAGAAATCATTATCCCACTCTAATCAGTGCTTTTCAGGTGTCACCTGGAATACTGTGTTCAGTTTTGGTGCCTGCTATACAAAAAAGATGTGGACAGGCTGGAGATGATCTGGAGAAGGGCCACAAAAGATGATCGGAGGCCTAGGAAGCCTGCCATGTGATGAACAGCTGAGAGAACTGGGTTTGTTCAGCCTTGAGAAAGGAAGGCTTACAGGAGACCTTATCCCCATGTTCTAGTATTTAACAAATGGCTACAGAGAAGATGGAGACTCCCTTTTTACAAGGAGTCATACGTAAAAGATGAGAAGTGTTGGGTACAAGTTACTGCTGGCAAGATTCTAATTGGACACCAGAGGGAAATTGTTCACAATGAGAATGATCAGCCATTGGACTAATCTCCCCAGGGAAGTGTATTCTGTAATGTTGGACACTTTTAAGGTTCAGCTGGAGAGGGTGCTGGGCCATCTTTGTCTAGACCATGCTTCTACCAAGAAAGGCTGGACCAGATGATCCTTCAGGTCCCTTTCCAACCTAGTATTCTATGATTATATTATTTTATACACAAATCTATAGATTGTATTAGAAGCTGGTCTTGTGTTCTTTTGCCTTGATGGAACAAATGTACGCTTGGCTCCCCTTTCCAGCCCCTTGTAAGCCTGGCCTCCAGGCCATGCTCTCTGCTGTGTTTCATTCATGGGCGAGATACTTTACTTCTGGCTCTGTGCAGCCCGTCCAGTGCCCACCTCCATCTTTCTCAAGGGATTCTTCAAAAAACAAAACCGAGAGACCACTTGCTGGTTTGTGCTGTCCACAAACAACTGAAAATCTCTTTCTCTTCCTTCCACATTTTTCTTAAGACTCTCTTGTTACAGAAGCTGTAAGAGAAACACTTGGTAACCAGCAGGCTATGGATTTGATGAGGTTATTGTTGGTATCCTGTTCAGGGTTATCACACTTGTGCCCTGTGCTCCATCTCCGTGTGTCTTGTCTGAAAAGCAGATTGTCTGGAGGCAGAAACTGCGAGCACAGATCCCAGGTTGTGTGGTAATGCAAATAAATAACCAAAGCAAGAGAGCTGCATGCAGGAGAGTCCCAGGGGCTAAACAGCAGCTACAGAAAGGCAGGGTTTTACGCAGTTAGGCTTAAACTTCTGTCAAGGAAGCAATGAGATGTAACGGGCCTGGTCAGGCTCTGCCCCATGGACAGTGGTATGAGTAATCAGCGCTGAGAATTTACAGTGTTTTTTCCCCTTGTGGATCATCTCACCACTGACTGGCCTCTAAGTGGTTTTTGCTCAGCTTAGCAGCTGTTTGTACATGTGTTTGATCTAGATCAAGGCTACAGTGTTATCTGTAGAAGCAGCCCTCTGGCTTTTTTGTGTTGCGTGAAATGGCTGTGCAGTGCTCCTTAGGGGTGGAAGAGCACAGAGACTGACGAGCTATTCCCATCGCATTTAACCATTGCGCCTATTTAAAAGCAGAACAAGACTTTCCAAGTAGCATCACAATCTCTCCTGCCCCTGCTATGTCTTACTTTGTTCTTTCCACATGCCATTTTTTCCTTCTCATCCCTCTGCATCCATGTTCCCAGGAACAGAGAGATGGTTCTTTTTCAGGCATTTCTGATTGCAGGTAGTTGAACAGTTAAATGCTTTGATTTACTGGCTTCTAATGTAAGCAATGGTTTGCTCTGCTGGTGGGTGGTAAAGCGTCATCTGTCTGTTTTGTTCAAACTGCAGGAGTCATTAAGATAAGCTCTGCAGCCTGTGACTGTCTCTTCTGTAGTTACTGTGAAGAAAGAGAAAAAGCTTCTTTAATCGAGCACTACTTTCTGGGCAGGTTGGGAGAGTCAGGAAGGGACCCTGCACAGCTCAGCCATTGCTTTGAGTATTTGAGCATTGAGATATGTTATGAGAAGCCTGTGCCTCTCCACTTGCTATTACCATGAAATCAGAGTGCATTGCTGTTGTGGGTATGTTGAATTGGCTTAATGGAATAATATTTGTTCACTTTTCCTGGCAAGCAGGAAGAACTAGTTATTAATTAAATAAAAAATGATAAATACTAGTGATTGTGCTAAGAGGCACATGAGAAGCTTTCTGTCTGCCCTGAAATGGGACTTGCAGAAAGGAGGTTTGGTAGTGAAAATATTACTTTTTTTTTAATTATTATTATCATGCTGGGTGTTTAAGAAAGGACTCGACATGGCATGTAGTGCCATGGTCTAGTAGGCAGTATTTGTTCAAAGGTTGGACTCAATGATCTCAGAGGTCTTTTCCAAACTAAATGATTCTGTGATTCTGTGAAATTATGGGCTGTAGTCAGTATTTCTCCAGGAATTTTCTGTACTTTTTAAAAAAAAGTTCCAAGTCAGTAAAATCCTGATGGCTACATTTAGGCAGAGCTGCTGCAGCCTTTTGAGGGGCTGAGTTTTGGGTAATGGCTTTTCAGCTTGGAGCATACATACCATGAATCAGTAGCTTTCAGGAGTTGCTCAGTGCTCTAGTTTTGGTAAAAAGAAATGGATATATCTTCTTGGTCCTGTTTCTGACTCAGCCCTAAAGGCAGGTTTGCTGTTAAACATGGGCTTTAGGTTTGTGAATGATGGAGAGGTAAACTTGAAAAACTTTCTCGTTGGCAGCAGCTGCATTGGCATTTCAGATCCAGCTTCTTAATTCAGTGATGTTGGTTTTTACCTACCAAAGGGCTTGTGATCTTTAGAGAAAATGGCAACTGGCCCAAATCAATGTACAGTCAGAAAGATACATAGTGTGGTCATGCTGGTTGCACAGAACAGGAAATAGTGAAGAACAGAGAAGAAGAAACTGCTGGTGTTTAGTCTGAAATGGCTGAAGGGCTCAGCAGGATGAACGCACAGCTTATGCAGGTCTGTCCAAGATAAAGCAATACTTTATATTTAATGTAGTTTGGCCAACCAGCCAGGAAACACTGCATAAAAGTTGTCATTAGTTCTTAAATGTAGGCAGTGATGAAATCCCTTCACAGAGAATGGATATCACTCACTAATGGATTATGCTGCCCCAAAGAATTTAGGTCATTCATGTCCATGGTGTTGTGTCATCATTAGAAAAATGCTGGAGGAAGGAATTTCTTTTGTGAAGTGTCTGGCATTCATAGACATTGATTTTAGACAGTTGGATGATGTTTTTTGTGGTTTGCATAAATTAGCTGCTTACTAGCTAGGACCCACCTTTTTGTTCTCAGTAAGGAAGATTTCTTGCATCTGGCTGAATTTCTTTGAACAAAAAATTAAGGAAACATAATGTACTGCAGGAAACCTAACTGAATGGAAGAAGATGTGAACAAGTCTTCAGAGCTGTTCTTGGTAATCTCTTAGTATAGCACATAACTTTCTGCCCACTTCTAGAAGGTGGCAGCACTTTTAGCAGCTATTTTCGTCAAGATGCCAGTTTGAATAAAGGGTTTTACAGTGTGGGACAAGTTAATCAGAAATATTTTGGGGATCTGAAAGGCTGTATTAATTTTCTGGATAAACTGGTTGTGTTTAAGCAAAAACTGTTTTTTTGAATTCTTCCTGTTCTTCTAAGTAAAATTTCAAGGAAAACAGAAACCAAATTTTGATAGCTGTGAGCTGTCCTGATGTTTAGCTCCTTCCTACATACCTTGTACGAGGGAGATGTGTATTTAATTCACTGTGATTTTTTTTTTTAGCAGGCCCCTAAGAAAGCACTTTAGCCACTAGCATATTAGGCATTTTGATTAAATCTCCTGTCAGACATTATATGTGCAGGGACACTAAGGTGACTTGTAATTTCTTTAATTAAGTCCTTCACTGCTTAGAGACTGGTCCTCACAGAGAAAACTGTGAACAGGAGAGACAATCAGATGAGTAAAACATCTAGTCTGAGCTTCTCAGTTCCAAACTGAGGTGCAGCAGGGTGTTCAGGCAGTTCAGTAAGATGGGAGTTGAGGCTTTTGCTCCTGCATCACTAGAAAAGTGAACTAGGAACTACTTGTGGTACTAGGCCATTATCATATAAAATAAGCCTTTCACAAGATAAACCACAGGGTAACTCCAAATTCAGTTAAAAGGCTGCATGGCATATGGCAGGGAACAATCAGTAAAGGAGGAGCAGTTTTCTCCTAATCATGGTACTTAGGAGTGGGTAGTGACCATTACTACATGTGCTGCATTTGGTGTTAAACTGACTGTTTGTTAAACTTCTTTCTGTTTTTATTTATAGGGCTCTTCCTTATCTTAGGCTTGATACTTTACCCTGCAGGTTGGGGATGCCAGAAAGCAATAAGCTATTGTGGACCTTATGCTTCTGCTTACAAACTAGGAGACTGCTCCTTGGGCTGGGCTTTCTACACAGCCATCGGTGGCACTGTTCTGACGTTCATCTGTGCAGTCTTCTCGGCGCAAGCTGAAATAGCCACGTCCAGTGACAAAGTGCAAGAAGAAATAGAAGAAGGAAAAAACCTTATCTGCCTCCTTTAACTACAGTGGGGGAAAATACCAGCGTCTGGATCTTTATCTGCTTTCCATTGACTGGACAAGCAGATCCACTTACCTGTTTTTACCATTTGTGTGACTGAGCCCCATGCATTCCAGCCCCGAACTACTGAAAGGGTCTTTCTTCCTTGCTGGGCAATGGGGATCAGAGAAAGGATCCCAAGAAAGCAGAATGTAAATACTTGGGGATATTTTTAGTTTCATTCTGTGATCAGGACACAGTGGAATACATTGATCTGACTGGGGATGTGAGTAAACACCTGTATATAGCAGGAATGTTGTTATAACTGACAAATTCTGATCGATTGGATTGCCTAACCCACCCTGGTCACTTTGAAGAATTTGGGTTTAAAATAATAAAAGATAGCACATTTTTTTCTTTTCTTATGCAAAAAAGAAGCCTATTTTACTGAGGTTTTGTTTCCAAGGGCTCCCCTCACTGGTGAATATTTCTTCACTACCACCTGATTTGGTACCATACTTTTCCTTTAGGTGCTTTTTGATACTGAACCTGGATAGGAAGTTATGCTGGAGAGAGCAAAGCTGACTTGATGCAGTGCACACCAATCCTTAAGCATTTAGAAAGTTAAGTCCCTGCCAGGTTTCTCTGTCTTGAAACCTAAGAGTGCAAGGTGTGTGCCACTTGTTACTTAGCAGGTAAATTATTTTGTTTCCACTGACTAGACAGAAAAATTGTTGTTGCACTGGCTCTCACCTCTCACCTGATTCAGATAAAATTGAAGTATTTCTACAGCCTTTATTAAAACTTCTGAACTCCCAAGCAGATGACAACTCCCCATGGCACCAGCCTGACCTGGGCTACAGCCTCTCCTACAGCTGTGGATCTCATGTTTTACTTCAGCAATATTTCCTTTTCTGTCATCAATGAAACCTCATTCACGGTCTACAGATCAGTCTGTCTCATGACCCAGAGGCACATTAGTCTTTGGGAAATCAAAATTTTTCAGGAAGTCTGGCCAAACTCTATATGGCTGGGAAGATTTTGTCTTTTTTTTTTTTTTTTAATTGTGTGTGGTATGGACCTTTTTCCAATTAAACCAGCAGAAATTAAACAGACCTTGCACAAATGACATTCCTTTCTCAAAGGCAGTTGGTTGTGTTACTTGTGATGTTGCCTCACTTACTAGAACTATTTTGGAAAACAAGTTTGAAAGGTATTTAAAAAAAAAAATGTAGCTGTGCCATAGGAGCATTGGGGATAATTCATCTGAGAAATAGTTCTAATGAAATACTAGGTGAACTTTAGATTCCTCTTCTTACTTCTACGTAGTTTAACATCATCCAAATGACAGTGTTGCTTCACTGTGTAATACGGAGCAGAGATTCTTGTTGATGTGTGGTCAGCCCCTTAAAGCGTGCCATTAGTTATTTATAGGTATTAAAAAATCATTGCTACTGTACAGGTAGATAGCCAGTTTCAAGACACTGCTCAAGTCCTTTGCAACACCAGAGCTGCTCAGCAGCCCTGACAACATGCCCAGGGCCAGCCTCAAGGAAGGGGTGAACAGCCACAGAGTTGGGGCCCTCTTCCAGCACCTGCCATGCCCTACGGACACTGTGGCACACACAGAGCAGCTCCCAGCTTGCGCCTGTCTGTGCCTAGTGCTCCTTCAGACCATGTGCTGGATGGATACAGAGGTGACTTCTGAGACACAGTGCAATGATTAAGGTCAACTTTTGCCTATCTGCAGAAAGGGACTGTTTTAATCTAGCCTCTTCCTGCATTCACCTGCTCCTGCAACCCACATCCACCATCTTCTAGTTTAAAACGGGTAATTCACTTCTCTTTTAAATATTTATTTTAAACACACCCTCCCTCAAAAGTTATGGTCTGGGACCATTTCTGCCAACTGCCTGCACAAAGCATGATTTTAACAAAGCAAAATTACCAGCACAAAGCAGTGCCCAAGGATGAAAATCATAGCCTGCACACTCTGTCCACAGCTGTGTTTGTCTCCTTGGTTTTGCCTCATAAACACACCCCCCCACAACCTGAATGGCATGCACTGGGCTTGTCCCCGGGGTCCAGTGAGGCGTCCTCCAGGCGTCCCTCCTGAGCCCCCACTGGAGCGTGTGCTGGAGCCTGGCTGCCAGCTAAGCTCTGCTGTTGGGAAATGGGGGGCTAGCAGTTGTACAAGTAGCATATAGCTCAGTTAAAAATTAATGAATAAGTAGATTTACTGTTTTAGATTTCCTGGGTGGGTGGCAATCCAATGTCCAGGTCACCACTGCCAACAAATCTTGACACTATATTAGGGTGAGAAATGCTGCTTTGGCTTGAGCACTTGATTAGTCAGAATCAGTCAGTTCTTCCAAAGGTATAGAGGGCATACACTGCTCTGGCTGAGACGCAAACGATGAGCAATCTTCACTTACGTTACTAGCTGACCTCTGCTGTGATCTACACAATGCTTAAAAAAATTTCAATAGTGCATTTTTGGGTTTTTTTTTTAAGTACGAAGGAGATATTTTCAGTGGCATATTTTGCTTTTGTTTGCATTTGTAACCAAGAAGAACCAGCTTTTCTGCTTGTTGCTGGTATATTATCAGCTTGCTCTGCAACAGCATAATCAACTAACTTGCAAGAATACCCATGTTCATCACATTGCAGACAGAAGACAGGCTGGGAAGAAATACAGAATAAATATAATCAGAATTTCTTTTCTCAGGGTTCTGTTTTTCTAGCAAGTGATAAGATGGTATATACTGCAGATTTTTTTTCCTGGATGAGGTTTTCATGTGCAGGAGGATGCAATCAGTAAATTTCACAGCTGTTTAAATTGCTCCTGAAGTTCACCTCAGCAGCAGCTTTGGGAGAAAAAAAAAAGAAAGAAAAATCAGCTTAAAGCTAATTTAACTGATTTCATGAGTGGGCTGCAGAGTGTAACTGCTTCTTAATGTACATGCACTGCATAGATCTAGAAAAATTTGCTGTGGATTCTTTCAAACCTGTGTGCCAGTTAATTCAGTTTAACTTTGTTTTTGTGGTATTGAAGAATTCTTCAAACATCTGTGGTTTCATCAACTTCTTAAACTTGTATTCAATAAAGTGCCATAGACCTCTTTAACTGTAGCATATTTAAATATAAATATATATATGTGTGTACATATATATGTGCGTAAATACACACACACACACACACACACATATATATATATATACAAACTTGTGTGAGATGTGCAATACCAGGAATAGATTTTGTGGTGGGCTTTTTTGTTTTTTAACTTTAGTTTTTGCTTTTAAACAAGTGATTTGAAAAGGGACTTCCCAGGGAAGAAGTGGCCGGAATTTGGTGGTGTGGATATAGAGTAATGCAATAGAATCAACTGATGCTGAAAATTAATACAACAGTAGTAAAAGTGGCTTGAAGAGTTAACAAAAATATCTTTTAGACTGATTTGAATTACTCAGATCTATGTAATACAAACACTTCCAATGTGAAGTTGTGTCCACCTCTGGCCACACTCTACAAGCTGAAAAGGCTCAGCAAGGTTTCTTGATGTGCTTTATTTGTAATGCAGCACTGCAAAAAAACATTGCTACTGAGCTATTGTTTCTAGGTTGTCTATATCACCTTTGTATCTATTTTACTTAATAAAGTTCTCTGGATTCTGAGATTTTTTTTTTTCAGCTAAATCATTTCCATTTTGCTTTGTTACCCCCCATCAGAGTTTCCTATGTCCTAGTGGTAAATGGAAAGGAATTCAGTCCTTCCTTGAAAGCCAAGGGCACTGGTGCCTACCTCAAGGAAAGGACAGAGTCCAACAAAAGCAGAGCACGGCAGCCACATAGACACCACAGCTCCTCTGTATAGGAAGTGTGGCTGCACCAATCCAGCTAGAGTAGTTTTTGAGCCATGGTTTATTTGTGGTACTATTTTTCTGTTCTTGAGTCACCACTATGTATATTTGTTAGCATGAATGATGTAACTAATGCCTTATTTTTAATCTAAATTTCAATTAAAATGTGAGTTTTCAAACTTTTAACAGGAGTCTGACTACCTTAATTTGAACATATTGTACAAGCTGAGCCACAGCCAGGTAGCTTTAATTGTAGCTTTAAGAGCATTTAAGATCCCAGCCCAATGATATAGTTCAGATTCCCATCTGACTTTAACAATTCTTACTGCTTACTAATCAAAAGGATGTGATGTGAAATTGTAACTGTGTTATACAATACAGTTGCATTAGCGAGACTTTCTAATTGAATATAGGTCTGAGAAGTGTGTTTCATTTTGCAACAAAAGCACTGCAGTTCCTTTCTCATGAAAAGGGGTAACAAAGGTTGTGAAACAAATATTGCTTGATCACACATGGAGTTTTAAAATGGTGTTTGCCACTGTGTGTCTTACCTTTCAACAGTGACTTGGCAAACACTAGAGAAAAGCTACAAAGCCAATCTACAGCAGAACCAGGAGTAAGGTTTTCAACAGTTTAAAGAATAAAGTCAGAATGGTTACTTATTTCTCATAGTTGCTAGGGTCCACTTGTATTAAATTTATATATAATTAATTGCATGTAGTTTAATTACACTTATAACAGTTTTCAAACTTCCAAGTAGCACTAGGTTAAAACTTGGAACATTTAGAAACCTCCACTGCAGAAGTAGTTAGGGAACAGGTGCCACTCAATACACCACTTACCTTAGTCACCTTTATGAATTTCAAAGCAGATACAGATACAGCAGTTATTCTATAAATAAAAAAATATTGCTTGAAGAAATTATGAAGTACTGATTTGAATGGCTAAAAATATTACCTTCATATTTCAGTGAAGTTAATCAAGTTGGCAATAGGGAGCACAGAGTTTAAGTCTCTACTTGTGTGTATTGTTACAGATTTCTGTATTCTTCCCCAAGCTCCAGCTAGGTTGAGAAAGGTGATGCAATGACAAAGTGGATGTGTATTACCCATATCAGAGGAACAGGAATATAAAGAAGTTGTCTTGTTCTGTGATTCACTGAAAGCTTGTTTTCAAATAGATGCCTTTTATTTGGAGTATCTTCATATTGGTGGGATTCTGACAGCATAGTCCCTAACCAGCTTTAGGTATCACTCAGATGCAGTGGGATCAGTAATTTGGTCTGACCAAGGTAAAGAAAAAAGAATTGCCAATTTAATGACATAGGTCATAGGTGTGACTTGATGATCTCAGAGGTCTTTTCCAACCTAATTCATTCTGTATTCTGACCACTTCCAATTGTTCTCTTACGTTGGACAAAAAGTATCACTGCAATGCCCCATCCAGGATATCCACTTTTTCTTCTAAAACTTCAAAAATACATGCACAACAAAGACAACAGCTCTGCACTGCAAACCAGCAACCGTGCTTTGGCATGTATGCAATGACTA